TTTTTTTTTGTGATTTGAAGGTACGGGGGTGTAGAAGGGCCCCGCACCACCCCCCTCCCGCCCTCATCCCGACCGAACCGCCGCCCCCGCGGGCGTAAACCCCGTGAACGGCCCCCGTGAACGGCCGGTCATGGGTTGGTGACCGGTGCCGGTCACGTTCACGGGGCAGGCACTGGCCGCGGGACAAGGGAATTTGCGGTCACCTCTGGAGGTGACCACAAATGTCCTATTTATTTTTCGTATTTTCTTCGAGAATTGGTGAAAATTTGTTCACGAAAGTTCCTGCACAATTTGGGCCTCGCTGCACTACGCTAGACACATGAAAAATTCAAGAGAGCATACGGAGTACGTCTAGCGCTGTCCGACACTTGGATTGGCATCAAGTGCTGTTGTAGCTGCACTTACTCCAGACTCTCATGAAAAATTTCAAGAGTACGTCTAGCGCTGTCAGTCTCCTGGATTGGCATCAAGTGCTGTCGTCGCTGCACTTACTCCGTACTCTTGACTCTCCTGAGCATTCTCGACTGTCCGACAGACACTACACGACAGGCCAGCGACGATTTGTCCACCGAAGCTGGAGGCCAACTCTCGAATTTGCAAACCGCACGAATAGGCCACGGATCTACCAAATCACAAATGTACTATTCCTGTGCCCATTTGTCAGCGGGCTGCCAAGAGATTTTGTGGTGACCTCTGGAGGTGACCGAAATTGCCGGGTTTTTTTTTTTTTTGCATTTTTTTCAAAAAATTGGGAAAAATTTGTTCGGGAAAGTTCTTGCACAATTTGCGGATGGCGCGGCGTGACCAGCCAAGTACCAAATCCCCATTTCTCCACAGTGCAGCGACCTTGTCCCATCTGAGGGCATAGGGTCTCGCTCCACTACTGTCCACTGTACAATTTTTCGGACAGTTGGTGGACAGTTGTCAGAAGGAAAAATTGTACAACAGTGGAAAATGCGACATCGCTCCACTTACTGTCCGCTTTCCACCTCTCAAATTCGTGGCTTCACTACCAGACACAGTGATAGCACTACAAGACAGGACATCCATAGGGTTTTGTGCGCCCCAACTCCAGGTGCACTCTCCAAATTCGGGTCCTCACTGCGAGTCCCTTGAAGGACTTTCCACTGAACGAATTTTGCAGGCTGGGAGCTGTACATTCACGGACAGTAGATTTTCGACGGGGTTTCTAAAAACTGTCCAAGCCATTTCGCACACGTACAGTGGACAGTAAGGGTCTCGCTCCACTACTGTCCACTGTATAAAACGGACAGTCATGCTTCGCTCCACTTACTGTCCACTGTACATGTGCAAAATGGCTTGGACAGTTTTTAGACACCCCGTCGAAAATCTACTGTCCGTGAATGTACAGCTCCCGGCCTGCAAAATTCGTTTATTGGAAAGTCCTTCAAGGGACGCACGCTGAGGACCCGAATTTGGACAGTGCACCTGGAGTTTGGGCGGACAAAACCCTATAGACGTCCTGTCTCGTAGTGCTATCACTGTGGGCCTCGCCGCACGGTGCACGAAATGAAAAAAAAAACGACTTCGTTTCGTGAAGCAGTCGCCGCATAGCACCCACACGACCTCTGTCAGGAAAAACTCGTGAATGCTGTCAGTCTCCAAGTTCGCGAGGCCTCACGAGTGTGCCGACTCCTCCCTGCCTGCAGCGCTCACGAACTCGTAGGTCCTCCGCTGGTAGGGTGGAGGAGCTGCGAAATCTCATGAGTGTCCATCCAAAAACTTGGACTGTAGCGTCCACAAATTTGGACCGTAGCTAAACGAATCCCGCACTACTCTCGCCAGGGCGTTGTCGCAAGAGGTTTCGTGTGTGCTGTGGGGCGGTGAGGCAAAAAACAAAGAGAAACGGTGGATCAGGGCTTCGCGAGGCCTCGCGACTCTGGTGATCGTTTCGTTTCGTTAGTTGTGCTGTGCCGCGAGGCCCCCTGTGTCTGGTAGTGAAACCACAAATTTGAGAGGTGGACAGCGGACAGTAAGTGGAGCGATGTTGCATTTTCCACTGTCCGCTGTACAATTTTTCGCTCTGACAACTGTCCACCGTCCAAAAAATTGTACAGTGGACAGTAGTGGAGCGAGACCCTAAGTGGTGCGAAGTACGACTGTCCGTTTTTGTACAGTGGACAGTATTGGAGCAAGACCCATACTCACACTAGCATGTACTTCTGCAAATTTTACGTGCATTTATATGGCACCTGCAGGTCACACTGCTCACCCGTTTGTTGCCCAAAGCAGAAAGGACAGGGTAGCGACCTGGCCTTGAGATGCGAAAAATACAGGGCTCGCCACACAGGCTTTCGAACGAAGGCATTTTTTGAAAGGTGTCAGACTTTTTTCGAAAGTATGCTCGTCGAAAGGAACCCCCCCCCCTTGCCACACAGACTTTCGAAACAACCAGGCCTCTCTATAAATGCACATTAGGGCCTGGCTCTGTTGCTCACTGCGCTGTAAAACGAGAGTCTGAATCTTTGCCTAGAACATGGAAAGATACTTAGCCATAATTTTGTAGTTTGTGCATGTCTAGAGTAGTGGAGCCAGGCCCTTGGAATCGCCCCTTTTTTTTTTTTTTGTTTTGCTGACCGATCAACCGTTTTGAGTGGGCCTTTTTACAAGTCCACTCGAGGTCTTTCGAGGAAAGGCTCGTGACAGGCGGGAGGATCTCATCTCTTCGAAATGACTTTCGACGACGGCCCATCTGACACCTTTAGAAACTTTTTTGAAAGAACTGGTTTCGAAAGGCTGTGTGACGAAGGGTCTCGCTCCACTACTCTCGACTCACGAAAAGTTTCGAGTCCTTCTAGAGCTGTCAGACGTGCCAAACTCTCGAAAAAAAAGTCTTGGCTCCACTTACTCTAGACGGTTTTGCTCGAGATGCAGTGGCGGAATGAGACGAGCTCTCTGACTGCACTAAAAGACAGCGCCGCCCTGTTCTGAGGGTCGGGACACGAGGCGCACTCTCGAAAAAAAATGGTCGGAGCGGGGATACGAGGGAGGACACTGGAAAAGCATGTCATTGCAGGCTGGGCACTCTAGACACTTCGAGAGTCCCCTTCGAGAGTGCTTTCTGACAGCTCTTGAAGGGCGTTTTCGAGAGCACCTATCTAGAGTGAGTGGAGCGAGGCCTTACTCCCGAATTTTCGAGAGTATAGAGTAGTGGAGCGAGACCGGAAGACACGCCCTCTATTTTGCGCTTTTGGAAAGCCTGTGTGGCGAGCCCCTATGTTGTGTGCAGTCAGGCAGCACAATGGACATTTTTTTTTTTTTTTTTGTGGCTTCCAGAAAGCAGTTGAGGAAAAAGAAATACGATTTTGCGGGGACCAAAATATGTAAGCCCGCGGCTGTCCAGGCCGCTGACATTTACGTGCCCTTTTGTGTGAATATGCAAAATACGTGCCTCTTGTGACCCGAAAAACTACATAAATACGGGATAGTGTGCGTGTGCCCTGAAAGGTACAGCAGTGTGAAGTGAACGATGCCCAAAACCTCAAATCGGCCGTTTTGCGGATTTGGGGTCGCAGTGTGCGTCTGCCCTGAAAAGGTGCAGCAGTGCGCCCGGAACCAGGCACAAAACGTCAAATAGGCCCCTCCCAAATCCGCATATTTTGCGGATTTGGGGTCGCAGTGTGAGTTTGCCCTGAGAGGGGGAAAAAAGGAACACAGGCCGGCCGTGCCCTGAGGGCGTACTCACACGAGGACTATTTTACTATATTTGTGGAGGACCCTGGACGTGAATGCAATCAGATTCATAGGAATCTGACCAGAATTGCGATCAGATTCGTTTCGGAAAGTGCCACTGTGAGTATGACACGACGATGGACGACGTCTCCGGAGTTTTCCAGAAGTCGCAGAGCGTTCTGCCAGACGTCCTCCCTACAGGTAGGTGGTTACAGTCGCGCGCGGCGGGGTCGCCTTGGAATTGTCAATCAATGAATGAGGCTCTCCCCGCCACCAACCACTCGTCCAGATGCTTCGGTCGCCTCCGTCGTCTCGAACCTTCCCAGCGTCTGTGCTTGCCAAATGGGCGCGCAGTGCTCCGCATCGCGCCCTTGTATTTCCTTCTCTCTCTCTTTTTTCGCGCTTGAAAGTTGCTTCGTTGTGGGCCGGGCAAGCCCGGATTCTTGGCAACTATAAATAGAGGATTGCTCTTCCGGTGAGGCCATGCATCGAGCAACATAGCCCGTAGCACGCCGCGACATCTACGCGCCACTCCATTTTTCCTTCTCATTGGCCGCGCCCGTACCACTCGAGTTCAGTCTCGTTTCTCGTGCCTCTAGTGCGATCAAGATTTTCGACGCAGCTTGTCGATCGCCATTCCCCACCCTCTCTTGTTGACGTCCTGTCCTCACTCTCCGCACTCAGTGCACTCATTCACCGATCGTTTGCCGGTACGGTCTCAAAAGCTTGCAACTCCTTCGCACTATAGCGGCATAACCTCTCTCTTTTTGTCCAATCTCCTCACACCCACCATGGCGCTGTCTCCGTTCTTCTCCCGAGACTCGAGCTTGTCGGCGACGCCGAACTTCACCTGGAAGATCATCTTGCCCGGAGATGAGATGTTGCGAATGCTAGATGAGCCCAGCCGCACGTTCATGAAAGAATCGCATGCCATGGCCAACACCGCGGTGGACGTGAAGGAGACGCCGACGGCATATCAGTTCGTGGCGGACTTGCCGGGACTTAGTCGCGAGGAGGTGAAGGTGCAGCTGGAGAACGGCAACACGCTGGTCATCAGCGGCGAGCGCCATCGCGAGACCAAGACCGGAGAGGCTGCTGGCGACAAGTACCACCGCATCGAACGCAGCACGGGCAAGTTCATGCGCCGGTTCACACTGCCTGACAACGCGGAACTCGACAAAATTGGCGCGCAGTGCAAAGATGGCGTACTCACCGTGACGGTGCCCAAGATGCCGCCGAAGGAACCAGAGAAGCCCAAAGTCGTCGACGTCCAGATCAACTAGACGATGGATGTCTGCTGTCACAGTGGCGTATAATAATACGGAGGTGTGGAATGGTGGTGCGGTGGGGACGTCCACCGATGTCATCGGAAGGAATCGAACTCCAGGGAGAAATCGACAGTACATGATTACCGATTCCAGGGATCCACTGACCATCCACCATTGCTCCCTGCGGTTTCGACACACACACACACACACACACACACACACACACGGAGAGAGAGAGAGAGAGAGAGAGAGAGAGAGAGAAAGAGAGAGAGCAGTACGACGTCCGGTGCGCCGGGGGATAGTTGTTGAAATTGGAAGGCGCAAATTCTCTTGTGATCATTGATTAGGGTGAGCAAAAGAGAATGAGAAATGAGGGCAAATGGGCCCTAGGCCCGGGAATAAGTCACTCGTGTGGCAAGATCGGAGGGAGGCAATCGTTCTTCTGAAATTTGGCGTCGCTGCTCTCCTCCAGTTGTGCGCTGATTCGAGGGCAGGGGCTGTGCCGCAGGATGCAATCTCTCGGTCATTAGAATTTAGAAGCCGATGCGGGAAAATCATATCCTCCATTCTATTTTGTGTAGCGACCGTGAAGTTTTTTTTTTTGCAATAACAGAAAGAAGTCCGTAAGTACATTCATGCCCGAGTTTTGCAAGATGTTGTAACTATCCCCTTTATGTTTTGTCGGGGGGTTTGTCGGCTGTTTCCTTTTTTTTATGCTTGTGGGCCTCTCTGTTTTGTTTTTTAGTTTTTTTTATGTGTGACATTGCGTGTCACACGTTTGTAGGGGCCATGGTAATATTCTCGTTATGGTTCGAATGTGCAACGAATCTCCCGAAGGACAAGCTTCGTTTCATTTTGTCGGAACGGGTGGTGGCAAGCTTTTTCTTTATTGTCTTTTAATAACAACTATCTTTTTTGGGAAAAGTTATAAAACCTACCCGCGACGAGACCTTTGTGTTCATTAGCCGCTCAACGCGGGAGAAAGTGCCGCAGGCCCCAAAATGAATATCGGCGTCATTCTTGCACCCTGTAAAATCCAGGGTGCGAACATAACCTCAAGAGTCATTTTGGGCCCTGCGACACTTTTTGCCCCGTTTGGGGGGGACATGAATACAAAGCGTTCTTCGCGGGGAGGATTCAAACTTCTCTCAATTTTTTTTATTACTATTATTTTATTTTTCCCCGTCAATGTATGTATGTCGGTTTTTTTAATAACAATTATTCTCGTTATTATCGTTCCGCAGGACCAGCCACGGACCTCTTGTTACCACTTACTCCTTCCTCTGAATGATCAGGTTCAATGAACTTCTCACACCAACCCCAGCGACGAATTATGGAGATCACTGTGATGATCAACATCTCAATGACAGTC